TTTCACTTGGCCCTTTCATGGAAACCAGTTCAGTAGTTTATATATCACATTCATTTTGATGTGTAATATCCAAAACACACTTGTAACTGCTTATATTTACATTTTTACTCAACACAATCAGTAGTATTAACTTGGCCTAAATTATTTATTACATATTCCTTTCAAACTTAAATTATACTCCTTGTTAATTTTTTTCCTTTTGTTCCCTTTAGTTCTTGTCTATTCTGAGCAAGAGTGCTGTCCTTGAGTATTTGAACATTGTTGTGGAATCACAGGTTTGTACAACATATTTGGCTTTTATTCTTTTGTTTAGACTATCAGTTAATTATACTTAACAATAAAGAAGACAAAGCTATGCAAAGTGTCAGATTTTGTTTCTCTTATTTCAGATTTCAGACCACCCAATCTGGAATCAATTACATCAACCATTAGGCCACTACAGGCATACCAGCATTTAACATTCCTTTTTTTAATTCTCTTTTCAGGATGTTCCGATATCCTTCTTTGCACGTCAAGAGCACCATCTCCAGTATTTCCTGCTAAAACTAGCTAATAATTTGGTAAGAAATGAAAATCCTTTATCTGTAGTTTGATCTTTGACTAGGCCCTAATGCACTGCCCCCCCCCCCTCCCTGGGGTACTCCCTTATAAAAGGGATGTGGGTGCTTGTGGGAAATTGTAAAAAGAATGTCTAAGATGTACCAAAATCCTGTTTTGTGGGGGTGGCTTGAAATTTTTTTTTCTCCCCTACATGTTATCTCCTGTCATATTTTTTTCGACTCAATGCCCTAAAAGGTACTGCAAAAGTTTCCGTCGTGGACCTTTCTAGGCTGAACAGCCTAAGATGTACCAAAACCGCTTTTTCAACCCCTAAAAGGTATGACAAACATCCCCGTCCACATCCCCGTCCTTTTTAGATGGCAGCCTTCCACCGCTGCCGCCGCCGCCNCCCCCCCGTGCCGTCCCAACTGGGTATGGAGCATAGCAGCTTTAACAACCTCTCTAATGACAATTTATTAACTGCTAAATAGAAATGTTTTTCTTGTTGTTTAGATTGAAGCAACTGATTCAGATGAGTTTTCAAGTCATGT